GAAGGCGGGTTTATGTATATTATATATATATATATATATCTCTGTGTTTGTGTGTGTGTCTGTGTGTGTGTGTGTGTGTGTGTGTGTGTGTGTTGCGAGGTCTCGTTGAAATCATGATTGCTGAAAGCGAATTTTCCGTGCCTCCTTCACGAAATGAGCATCATGTGAGACAGGGGAAATATTTCGTCAAATCGGAATTACTTGTACGCGCTGTTTGCATGTAGATTGGTTTTCCGAATACCGCAATGCAACACGATTGTTGTATATTTCCTTTTTTTTTGGCGCTATCATGAGCAGAAGATATCGTAATCATCGAAACAAGCATTGGTCCGTACCTCCTACACGGATACAATGCTCATGGAGCAGAAAAAGCCGCAGCCCATTTGAGAATGCGAGGGCATGATTATATTAGTGCTGATATTGCGGTTTGCGGCGATGTAGTTGCGTGCTGCTTGTTCCTGACTCTTGAAGGAACCGTAATTGTCGAAACAATCACCAGTACCGTGCCTCCTACACGGATGTGATGCTGGTGGAACAGGAAGGGGTATAGTTGAGTGTATGATTGTACTAGTGCCGATATTGTGGTTTGTAGCGATCTATTTTTCATGCTGCAGATTCCAAACTCTGAAAGAGCATGTAATTTTATTTATGGATGCTTTATGGAAGACACCCTAATAATTGAAAGTATGCGCCGGTACCGTGCCTCCTACACGGGTGCAATGCTAGCGGAGCAGAAAGAGGCGTAGGCCATGTGAAAATGTGAAAGTATGACCGTGGCAGTGCTGATATTGCGGTTTACAGCGATCTAATTGGTATGCTGTCAGCCCTTCCGACTCTTTGAAGAAACCGTGATATTTTTTTTCGCGTATACTTTATGGCCGTCGGAGTCGGTTTTGTATGGTCAGTCGTAACGAAATTTGATCAATGATGTTGAGAACATTACGGTGGCGGTTCTCCAGAATTCGCATACGGACGACGGATGTCAGCTCGACTTAGCTTCACCCTGCAGCTGAATATTTTCGATTCGGAATAGATTCAGAATAGACGAGATCGAGTGTTGAGAAATAACGTTGTGTTCAGCTTTGGGAGGGTTACTGGGCCCCAGTGCTACATCGAAGCGCAAGCTGTTACTGGGGTGGATGCGGGAGTTAATGATGCCTCCAGTGCAGTTTTTGTTAAGGTCATATTTACACAGGACCCGGACTAAAGCGCCCGTAGTAGGCAGTTTTGTTTAGGTCATCTTTGCCGCAGACCCGGACTAGAGCGCCCGTAGAACTCCGTTTGCTTCCGCTGACGATTGGAGCGCCGGAAAGCGGCCCCGCTCCCACTACCCGAGGACGCCGAGCTGCTATAGCAAACTGGAGGACCAATAGCAGGCGGAGCAGGTGGAGGGA